CAGTAGCAGCAGCAGCAGCAGCAGCAGCAGTAGTAGTAGAGTCAAAAGGTCGGTAGCAATGTCGCGATGAGTAAATCGTACCCGCTAGACGATGCAACGAAAAAAAGGGGGAAAGAAAGAAAAGCAAAGGGAGGAAAAATTCTGGCAAAAGATCGATCGCATCTGGTTTCGACTGGATGCATCCGTTTGAAATGAGGTACATAGGTGTCGAAGGAAGAAGGACGCGTCCTAGAAGATACAATGTGGCAATTGTTACGTAAAACGGTTACACGCGACGGGGGTGGCGAGAGGACGGGACGTTCGAAGCGTCGGCGATGGTGGGGGGATAGTAAACGAGAATGAAGAGGGCAACGTCCAAAAGGGGGATATACAATTCACGGGGAATTTGATTTCGTAACGACGACACGACGCAGCACAGCTTTGACGAAAAGCGTATCGTCGTCGACGCGTTTCCAACGATTCTGTGAAATGGAAGGAGTGTGCGTGCGCGCGTGCATGTACGGTGCGGTGACGAAGGTGGAAAAATTGGAAATCGGTAGGTAGCGCGTGTGGGGAATGTCGCAGAGCAGCAAGTCGATGGCACACTGTCGTCGCGAACGAGTTAATTTGGTGCAGTTCTCTTTCTGGCGATCGTGAAGCGTCGCGTCGCACGTGCGCCACCGCATCGGAGACGCGCAGGGCAAAGTGCATCGTAAGACTGCTGACGGGTGCAGCACCGGTGCACCGGCTTTCCGATGAAACGCATCGCCCCTTCCCCTCCTCTCTTTCGCTCCACCGACCGTGCGCACAACGTCGGCTAACGCACCACGTGACCATCCCTTTAACTTTAGCGAACCGATTACCGCACCACTCGCCGCGACAACCGACGCGACATCGTCGTCTTCTTAATCCCATTCCTTTGCCTTCTTCTTCCTTTTTCCATTCTTTCCCTCTCTCTGACCTTCCGACCATTCTCACTGGTTCGCCGCAGGCGAAGATTTTTCTCCTTGCATCTCTACCCAAGTACATAGTAAGTATCTGTACGGCGTTGGATAACGCTTATATGTATGTATCGTTGGACCACGCCGAGGAAGTAGCGAATCGCGTATCGCATCGTCTCGTTCCAACAGGCTGGATTCTGTCGAGCACTGCGTCATTTCTTTACGGCGTATGATTCGTTCTCTCGCTCGTTGGTTCGCGGTCTTTCCGTCGTCGTGCTCTCTCTCTAGAATACCGATGCGTCCCTCGCCTAGGGTCGGCGTATCCCCACCAGATTCGGGTCGACTCGTTGCACCGGGAAACCGAGAACGCGGTGCACCCGTCCTTGTCGCTCGGCTCCATTCATGCCTCGACTCTCTTCGGGTTATGCAACTTGGCCGACAGAGACGAGAGACGAGAGGGTTGCGCCGATACTGTACGCTCGTTTCACCCAATCTTCCCTCGCGGAGACCAAGAAGAAAGCTTCTACTCCGTCCGACTAACCTTCCGTCCTCCTGCACCTCTATCGCGCGCGCCACAGGGACACAACTGCGCAACGATCGAATTTTTTCCGCCTCTGCCTGCTGCCTCTGCCTGCACTCTCCTTTCGCGCGCGATTAAGCGATCGCCGCTGAAGGTACGCACACCGCTTCCTAGTCGTCGATATCACGATCGGAATGGGACGAGGAATATTGGAAAATTCGACGAAAATTCCGTGGAACGGCCGTGTAATTGGCACTCTCTTTTATTGCATTTTCTATAAACAACAATTCACATGTACCTAACGTGGAGGAAGATTCGATACAGTCGCTCGAGTGTAACTACTAGATAATAGAAAACCGTGTAACGAGAAAAATTCGAAAACCTTCCTATTTTTTTTTACATTTCCTAAGGTATACGTCGTCGATACAGCTGTCGTTTCTCGATTACAATTCAGAGATATTTTGTAAAGCACCACGAAGAACACCACCACGGTTCATACCGCAGTTTACACGCATTCGTTTAATAATATCGTCAACGAACGGACGATCGATTTCTCGAGTGTCGAGATCGTCGGCGGAGCTTCTACCGGGAATCGTTCGCTGGGCGTAGGAACGTTCAAAACCGCTATTCTACATGCACGCGAAACGTGCACACGCGTTGCTCTTATTTCAGCGTGCGTTCCTTTTCCAAGGAGCCGCGCGATCCTCGACGTCGATCGATTTCAAACTTGGCCATGTACAACCGTTTTATACCAATTTACAACGTACGAAGAAATAGTTTCTGCATCTTCCAAAAAGCTCCGTGTAGTATGTCGAGAATGCAAACGGAACAACGACGCACGTTTCGTTGTTGCTGCGACGCGATATACGATAAAGTTAATTAGCGTTTAATGGTGGATACAATGGACAAGTGTACCTACTTGTGGAAAAGAAGGGGAGAGAAACGAACACGATTAGCGGCAAGATGGCGTTTAAGAATAAAGATAATTTCGACGCACCGAGAGAAGCGCTTGTTGCCTCGATCGCACTTTCGAATCGATCTCTCGACCGACGGAATACACATGTTTGGGACAACTCCGTGCGTGCATGCGTGCGTGCGTGCGTGCGTATTATTCGCGGGAGAATCCATTCGAAAGAATGTCACGGGGATAGTTGCGCAACGAGGCTAGGAACTGCAACGATTCTTCACGGTGGTCTTGGTCTCGAAGGAAATCGTAATCAACTTTTACGAGATGGCTGCGTTCCTGGTTCGAAACGGAAAAAGTTATTTGATCTTTTATCGATTAGCAGCCCACCGCTTGACGGCGGTGAGAAAACTTGGACGAAAGGATTATCGCGAGAATCGAAAGTATTTTATAGCGTTATTAACACGATCGGCCGATACTCGACAAGATCCCCCGACAAAGAGCCGATTTTCGATGTGATTATCGAGGGGGGAGATCGACGACGCGGCAAATACGGCGTAGCAAGTTGCAACGCGCGTAACCGAAGGTCGTCGTCGTCGTCGTCGCCGTCGTCGTCGTCGTCGTCGTCGTCGTCTGATTGATTTAATTGACTTCTGAATCGGATCAACGAAGGCTAGATTCATGGAAGACACGTTTCGATTTCATTTTCACGGAGAACAACGCGCTTTAGACCAAACTCGGGATCTCGCACTGCGAAAACTCCATCAATTTAGTCGAACGTCGAGATTATCGAGGCAACCTCGACCGTGTTAATACTGTTAAAAGGAATAGGATATAAAAAGAAAACACTGAGGAATTGATATTAGTGTCCGAATAAATGCCTTCTAAGTTGGACGAACGATCGTTTACCCTAGTCCAACGTCTAGGGACATCATTACCAAGAAACCAACGATGGCTGCCCAGCTGGCGAGTTTACCATTTCCACTGCAATCAGAAAGCAAGAAAAAAAGGTTTTCTCTCAAAAGAACCAGTATGCGGACGATGTTCGATGGAAGGACGACGTGGAGGAGGATTTTTGGAAGAGTCGAGTCCAGGCAAGATGGAAGCGAGATTCGTGTAGGAGAAAAGTTTGAATCGGAACGGAGATGAATGGCATCGAAGAGGATGGCGAGAAATAAAATGGTTTTCGCGGTATAAGTAGGGATTAAGCATACAGAAAGTACACACACGCGTACCCGGTGGTATTGCACGTCACGGCTTGTTGATTTCGTAAATTATACACGGCCATCAATTTTAACGGCCGGTGAAATGCGCCGTTGTGTTTCGGTGGGCGTTCTACCACATCAATCATATCCGCGCGGTAAATACCTCCTTTCGGCGTGCCTCAGAAATTTGTATTTTTATTAGCCATTACACCCTGTGTTTGTTGGTCGCTACAAAATGCTCGTACGATCGTGAGTGTCTGGCGACGCGGCAATTTCGATCTTCTTCTCTTCTCTTTATTCGGTGTCGAGAGGATCGCCGCGCTGGCTGGCTGGCTGGCTATCGATCGGACACTTCTCTGCGAGACGAGCGATCCTGGTTCCGAGAATCCGGTTAGCTAACTATTAGCTGGCTACGTACTACTCGAGAACAAATGGATTCCCAAAAGACGAGAGGAAGAGAGAGCTTAATCTTTTCTTCCCGCGCGCGCCGCTACGAAAACTAATCGATTTTCAGATCTCGCAAACTTTCTCCCGTCCTTGTCCCTTTGAGCATCCCTCTTCGATATCGCTCCATCTACCTTTCCTGAGAAACTCTGCCGTCCCGCTAAACCAGAAAGCAAAGCGGGCATTGTAATCTGCCCTCTTTCTCTTTCTCACGTTTGCCTCGCGGCCTCTCTCTTCTCTCGAAAAGATCACACGCGGTGGAGGTCTAGCAACGGCTCACCCGCAGAGGGGGGAACCCATTTTCACATTTGTGTTTTCCGAGGGCGGACCTCGGTTCACTGTCTCAGGAGGTGCGCGCGTGCTCTCGGGCAGGGCGGTTAGATCGCACGCGAAATACAAAAGAAGCCAATTATAATGACAATACGGCTTCTTCAGCTAGGTAGCCCGGGCCTGGGAAAGAAATTCGCCACGTCCGTTTTACCGACACCGTGCTAACTACGCCACTGCCGTCACGCGCCATTGTACCGTAATCGTTCCCGAACGTACTGTACGGCCGTGCATGCGCCTCTACCTTTTCCTAGACCTATCGACCAAGTATCCTCCTTCCTCCCTTTGCCTTTCCGTCGTCCGACGTTCAGGGGGTCGGGAGGAGGATGGGAAGGCAAATTTTCGTGCAAAATTCTTGGGAACGAACCTTTGATGCGCTTCCGGGATGATGTCGTCGATCACGACGTAGATCATTGCACCGGCTGCGAAGGCGAGCGCATAGGGTAGCGCGGGTTCGGCGAGTGTTATTCCGGCTGCGCCAAGGACGCCGGCGACAGGTTCTACCATCCCCGAGAGCTGGCCGTACCAGAAGCTTTTCAAGGTACTGAGACCGGCGGCTTGAAGGGGCAAAGACACTGCCAGTCCTTCGGGAAAATTCTGAATACCGATTCCGATTGCGAGATTTCTGTAACAGAAAAGAGACAGAGAGAGAGAGAAAAACAGGGTTGACCGTGCGTTGAGAAACGCGTATCGCGATCGAACGATAAGAATAAAAGCGAGGAGGCAAGGTGGCTCTTTGCACGAGCCAACTCGTATTTACACTCTCCTCTCTGGTCGCGGTGAGTTCTTGAAACTGGTCGACGGCTTCGACATTCTCTGCATTTTTCCATCTGCTCGAGAGTCGAGTACTCGAGCCGTGAGCTGCCAGTTCTAGACACGTTCGCTCCTAAGCTAATCTTCGAGTATTCTATTATAGCTATAGAGTCTCGATTCTCCTCCGAGGTTTGAAAATGTTGGCCCGTGAACGATTAATACGTGAACGGTAGAGTGTAACGCGCGAAGGGAGGCAGAGACGGGAACGAAAGCAGCACGGGAGAGCGAGCTGGTAGGTACGTAGCAGGTGAATGAACCAATATAACGTAACACCGGTGTGCACACCGGACGCGTATCGCGTCGCCTTTCTAGACTTTTAAACCGACCATCGAAGGTATTCCGAGAGAAAGAGAGACGAAAGATTATTCGTGGTCGAAGACTAACCGAATGAATGACTGGAGGTAGGGGGACTAGGAAAAACGTAGGAAGGCAGGAGGAATGCGGTGACCGGATAGCATAGACGGAATTTAATTGAGAAGTAGCGAAAAGAAAGAGTAGGAGAGGATCGAAGGAGGCGACGCAAGCAACGGTTAGAATTTCCAAGGAACGACAGATTCGGTTGGCGGTCGGTTGGCGGCGAGGTAGCTACGAGCAGGTGAATGAATGACGCGATCCAAGCTCCTCCTTCCGATGCAGGATCACCGGTATAGAGCGCGGCGCGCTCTCTCGTACAGGCTGAGCACATGGTATGGTATGTCATGCCGCGGCGTGTAGAGCGTTATTTCATGGGACGGCATCGTCGTCGCGTTCCTACAGCATCGACGTATATAAGTGGTTGTACAGTTAACCCGTCGGGTCCGGCTGTTCGCCAGTTGCACCAGGGGAGGTCACCCGAGTTCCAAGAATGATCTCTCCCTTCCACCATACTGGCTTCACCTTTCTCTCTCCCTTTCCTCGAGCCGCGCTCCAACAGGCCGGTTTCTTTTCCTTCCTGACTTCTTCTCTCTGATTTCCACGGTCAGGGCCGCTACTCTCGACTCGTCTACCCTGCTACCAGACAGCTAGACCAAGCAGCGTCTCAAGAATCCTTTCGTCGGCGAAAGCGGTCGTGTGACCGTCGTGTGTGACAGTCGCGCGCAACGTTCGAGAAGAGGATTCTAGATCGGAAAGCGTTTAATTTTCTACGCGGGGATCCATCGGCCGAGGAATTGCACGCGAGTTGAAAATCTTATGCCCGCATATTCGATCGAGCGGTTAGCTAACCTAGCTAGTTAGCTCCGGTGGTCTCCGGTTAATGAAAATAAGGATTAATTAGCCTGGTCGCCTAAGATATCGAGGGGAACTCGATAACACGGCGTCCGAGTAGCTCTGTTCAACGCACCACAGTTTTGTCGCCATTTTGCATTCCATAAGCAGCCGTGGTTGTCCTTACGTGGCAACACCTATCTATCCTCCGGTTCGCGATGTCTCGTGCAACGACCGAAACGATCCTAACAAACGACATAGCGGACACGTGACATCGAGCATCGATCGAAAACCCGGCGGATCTTCTCAGCTAAGGAAGTGTGCCTCGAATGGGAAGAGGAGCTACGTTGGTACATGGTAGGACGACGCGCGTTAAAAGGAGAAAAGAGAGAAGAGAGTATAAGCGTATCAACGTGTGTGTATGAGAAAACTAAGGAGCGAGGAAGACAAAAAGGGGAGAGAGAGAGGGAGTAAGGAATGCATGGGAACGAGGCGCAAGCGGACCGACCGCGATTTGCCCGTCCCGCATTCCACCAACGCCAAGGCGAGCTCTCCGGCTCTTCTCGGCTCCGAGGCCACCGGCCACGTCCTAACACCATAAAATCATAAGACCAAGATCAGCCTTCCTTCTCTCGCCCTATCTATCTCCAGGAGGGTACAAGAGGTGATTCTGGTGTCCGTGTCGCGAGCCGCGATTCGGAAAAAGTCTCTCGAATAGTCCCCGCGGAGAGGGGACATAACGGATCCGTCTGTTCCGAGTAAGGTACGCGGTGCGCATGCGTAATGCCGCTGCATTCCAAGCATTGCCAAGTTGCTGCACCGTGCACGCCGGTGCATCGCCCGATGCCAGAGAAAGAGAAACGCCGACGATTCGGGAGAGTAGCGTTCGAGGAGAGAGTAGATAGGTAGGTACTCGTAATACTATGCACCGAGGCTAAGCGGGAAGTACTACATATATCGTAAGCGGCTTCCGTTCCTATTAGCACACGTCAGAACTGGCTTTCCGCGTGTGATAACCACGCACCGGGTACAAAGTGCAACGATTGAGGGAACGGTAGAGGCTGCGTGTTGTTACCGAGCCCGAAAATCGACCGGAACATCGCATCGTCGAGGAGGACGACGTTAGTTGGAGCGTTACTCGTCGGTCGGTTAACTAGCCGTGGACGCTCGCTCTCGCTCTCTCCCCTCTCCGTGCCGCTCCGAAAATGCGGTTCGAACGAGAAACGAGTTACGAACTATCCGCGCTTATAGTTGGCAGACGGCGCTACAACGCCGAAGGAAGGTAAAGGAAGGGAGAGGAGAGGAGAGGAGAGGAGAGAGCGGGCAAGTGAAAAGAGAAGAGTAGAAAGACGCGAGGCGAGGACAGAGAGCGGCCGCGGTGCCGTGAGCACTGGTCGGTCGGTATATAATAAGACAGACAGGAGGATAGCACTGAAATGAGGTGGTTTCGTCGGCAGCTTTGTCCGGCGCCATGTTTAACATAGCACCACCTCATCTACGTGCCACGCTAACCCGTCACCCCTTTCTTCTATTACCGAACCAACAGAGTATACGTTCTGATTACCGAGACAAAGTCTGATCTCGCATAGCTAAATAATACGCATAACTCCGAGGGTGACTCATTGTCAGTATTTCCTTCACCGTTTTACGAGTGCCCACCTCTCCTCTTTTCTCTTTATCTCGCTCTATTTCCCCCGGCTACTTGCTCTTCTCTCCGCTATTTCGACGGGCTAAGGCCATCGCCGAACCTTCCTTCCATTCATCATTCTTTCGCCGCTCCGTTTCGCCTAGCCTCTTGCTCGCGATTGTGATCGTCGTGAGAATGGAATGTCACTCGTTACCGACCACGAGTTCGCCTTACCTACTACAAAAGGGCATGCTGCTGGCTCGATTATCGTCGCTGTTCTTCGATGCGCATCGATAACGATGTACGCACGACACGAACCGATATATCGGCCGTGGTCATCTTTCGGACCGAGCCGACTGATTCATTCATAACCGGGAAACTTGCGCGATACCGCGTTTACGTCGTTCCTTCCTCTTATCGCCTCTCCTCTCTCTCTCTCTCTCTCTCTCTGCTCCCCTACAATATGAAAATGGACCCGGACGCAGCCGGACGAACCACGCTTCACTTTCCGTTAATTACACGCAGAGAAAAAGAATTCCCTCTGTATTTCTTAATTATCGCGCGGCGGAAACGAAAACGCCGACACGGTCCATTCATTCCACGGATTCTTAATCACCTACGGACGTCCGACAACGTCGTTCGAATGCTTTGGAATTCGGGCCTGACGTGATCCGCTCCAAACAGGGCTCCTCGATTTCGGTATTGCAAGTTAGGTTCGATGAAAATAGGCGGATTTCCGAAAGTTCGCCTAACCAGTTGAACGAGATTTCAACGCATTGTTATCTTTGAAAGAGAGAGTATTACAGAGAGGAATACAGTTTACGTAGTTTGGACGGGGCTGTGGTAAAAATGAAATGTGCGTCATACCGTTCGATGTAGTCGTACACACGTCATCGTCGTCTTCCAAAGTCAAAGGCGTAAAACGGTAAGGAGAGCGAGTTCGGCTCAAGTTTAAGAGAAGAGCGGACGAAGCGGGGAAAGCGGCAAGCTGGAATGGAATGCGCGGCGCCTAGGGCTCGTTGAACACCCACTGCTGCCAATAAACTTTGCCTGAGGCTGGCACTTGCGACCGACCATCGTAGAACTCATTCATGGGGACCTCCTATCACGCGCTCGTAACTCGCGGTCGTGTCTCCATCTGGCGGCGACTAGCTCACCTACTCTTTCTTAATGCCATCTACCGGTAGCCGTGACCAACTAATCCTAACTCACGTTTACCTTACCTTACCACGTCGTAACTTTACCGACCTGATGAAAAAGAACGCGACCATTTTTTCAACGTGCGAACAAATATGAAGAAAAAAAAAAAAAAAAAAAAAAAAAAAAAAAAAAAAAAACCGCGTTCCGATACCGATAGAAAACTTCTGCTTGTTAATCTACGACAGGGTAGAGTGAAAAATGAACTTTCAAACTCGTGACGCGATTCGACGAAACTGTCCTCGCTATACTCAGAACGATCCTTTTAACCGTTTAACGACAGTTGATCTCCTATAATGAATTTGATAGACGCGATTAATCTAAGCGAGTGACTTTAGATTGCACGCATCAGAGCCTGGTAGAACGTTATTTCTAGAACGACTGTTCTTCCCTATTGAAATTCCCTTTTATCGCGAGAAACAAAATTTATTAAAAATACCACTTACTTCGAAAAATCTTCAGGTAGTTGAATATTCCCCGTTTTTTATTGCCACGAGTCTACCGTTTAAATTAAATCTTTTCACAGATACTTGATACTTGTGGAAGTGTACAAGTATTCCTTACCTTGCATTCTCAAAAGTGGCTGATGCACTGCTACCCACTGCACCGAATCCAACTCCAACTGCAAGGCCCTCTGGAATATTGTGTACCTAATAATGTGTTGTAAAAGTTCTCACTGCAGTCTCTGTCGTATGCGTTACTGTAATTTTATCTTACAAACGTACTTCGAAATGCGAACATTTCGCGAAACATTTACATACCGTGATAGCAACAACCAGTAACAAAACTCTTCTCCACTGATTGCTTTTACTTTCATTGTTAGGATTCTCGTATATCGTTCCAATTTCTCCTTGTTCCGCTGCTGGTCTACTTATATTTGCAATTTGACGTCTTCGAGTATTTTGCTCGTAAAAGCCTGAAAAATGCAACATTGATGAAAATGTAACAAAGTACCGCCACAGTTTTATCTCCTGAAAATTGTTTAAACCAGCATTTAACCCATTATATCCAAACAGATATTTCTTTCCTTTTTGTCCTTAAAATTAAAGCGTGGTAAAGCTTGTAACATTTGTTTATTTGTACCCGGCATTTTCCTCTTACATTTTTTGCACATTAGATCCGCAGGCAGGATTAATAAGATCAGTTTTACAACGTGTGAAACTGTTTAAACGTCAACCAAGGAATAAAAGCTATTCGAAACGTACTTATTGCAGTGAGAAAACTAGTTTACATCTTACGGATATCAAGTATACTTTCAACTTGTATTTTAACAACTTCTCTAATAAACTTCTGATAAACTTCTACCGAGTCTTCTACTTGTATTCCGATGATTGTGCCTCTACAAGTTCCACCAGGTGCTCTGAAAATGCTTTCATGCATATGCTGCTATCTTCTGCACGCTTGTTTAAGTGCAAAGCGTCAATGCTAACTAGTCACTAATTGCATAGAACAAGACATTAGGCTTACAACAAGTACAACGGAAAGAGATAGCGCATTTCTCAGAAATAAGCAGAAACTTATTGATAACGAGTGAAGGAAAGTGTGTAATGTTGTATATATTTCCAGCACGAATGATAATAATAAGAAAATGTTTAATGCCTTTGGTACTGCTTATTCCTGAACCAATTGTTGACTGTTCGATGGTCACATGAAAAAGCAAAGAGGGGCGAGTGTACATTGACATTTTTACATATAGACATAATATACAATGTGTATCGTGAACTGATCCCATTTTCCAAGCCTACAGAGAGAATTGGATGTTACAAGAAAAAAATGCGATACCATCGATGGTGGTTGACTCAATTTGAGTATACATTTTTCCACCGGTTATTTGTACGGTGTTATACGGATCATAATCGTCTAAATCCTCGTCACTCTTTAGTTTTGCAATGATCTTGCGTCTTTGTTTCGTACCGACTGACTGCATAGCTAAAAGCACATTGGGGGACTGAATGCCAAGAGAAGATATCAACGCGTCCGTTCCGTAAACGAATGCCGCGCCTATGAGAAATCCAACTCCGACCGGTACGAACGCGTATTCGCCCTCCTCTCCGTAAATTTTGCTCTTTGTCGCCATTTCGATAGCAGGTGCCAGTAGCGACCAGTAACTTGCCGCTACCATTACGCCGGCCGCGAATCCTAGGCTGATGTCCAACAGTTTACGCTGCAATGAAACGCGTTCAATCATTTCAAATTGTTCCGCCGCATCTATCTTCCATTCTGCGTGCCTCTACTACACTCTACACTTTCAAACGCGCGCCAACGACTGGTTATGAAAAGGAGGAAAGAACGCGGACCAATATCATTGGAACGATCAGTAACACACCTGCTGCTGCTGCTGCTGCTGCCCAACGGAATGTTACTTTTTTTCTTTTTTCAGTCCGCTTCGCGGCATGATTCATTTTTTTTTTATTACATACGTTTAATATGAAACTGCGTGTAACAACGAAAAACGAAGCAACACTTTTTTTTTTTCTATTAATGCAAATTATCTTCGTGCGCTTTTAATTACCACATACGCATCTTTCTAATCTTATCAGATAAAGATTAAATAGTAAATATGTGTTGGTAATTTCAGAACAAAAAAGAAAAATTATAAACGTCAATAGACAGATAACGTTCAAATAGATTATACCTTTTGCGTAATATAATTCCCTTCCCGATAAATTCGAATTAACGGATAGTAAATTTCATTCTACCTTTCACTGTAATTACAACAACGATACACCCGCCGACAATACTCAATTCTACCAACTACAGCGAATCATCACTCGCTGTACTTACTCACTGGTGTACAATATGAAAGAAATCAGCGAAACAGAGAATGTTAAGAGTATCGTGTTACGTCGCGAAACAAATTCAAACTAGCTGTGAACGGCGGAAGTCTATGTTTTCAAAAAGAGGCAATTCCCGCGAAGAAGGTACGGTAAAACCGGATAAGGTTAGAATATGCGTTTCGTAAGAAAGGTTAGAACCGAATATACGTATTTTTAAGTGATATAACAATCGTAATACGTAACAGGATATACAGACTATTCGAAACGGCTGATGGATTGAAGGAGTAAAGACGAAAAACAGGCTTACTTGCGTTCCTCGAATTACGATGACAAGTGCGGCACCCGCTGCGGTGAGAGCCCACGTAAATAACGTTCCTAGGAGCGCCTGTGTAATCGGCGAATAATCCTTTAACATTGTACTAATTATCAGGTTCTCGACCTTTTAGACTATACCGCACATTCTCCGTAACGTGAACCACGAGAAACTGTTTCGTGAGACACAAAATCCGCTGATATGCATTCAGTCCCCCGCACTTATCTCAACCGCCACCACTACCGCCATCGCCACTGTAGTTGCCACTGACACTACCTTCGTCACGCTTACTACTACCATTGAATATCGCCACTTTATTTACTCCTACTAACCACACTCGCGAGTACTTATTCTACGACAATTTCGTCCCTGTACTTGTCAATGATTTCCGAGCAGGATACACAGAACGTTGACCGGACCAACATCGTGAACACGTTTCTATCACGCTTCGCCCTTATATTTGTACCTACAAATGGGGTTGCTTGTCCGTGTGACGCTATGCACTTTGTCAATTGACCAATAGAATTTGAGGATTTTAATGCGCTATCGCGATACCCAATCGTAATCATGCGTATCGAAATTCAAACGATCCAACATTCACCTTCGTTTTTCAAACATCAAACAGACAGGCCTGCCGCTTATTCCAACTTCTTTCACACTTATAACTCGCGATAATTGCTAAAAAATTCTGCCTGTACGATTTTAGAACTTTTGTCGAAAGTATCAGAGTGCATCTTTCGCGCTTTTCTCTTGTCACTGTGGCGTTAGTATCGTTGGAAGCTGTTAGAACAACGTAATAACATGGCGTCCGCGTCGGTAAGTGTATGGAACATTTTCATCCGTACGATTTCTACGCATTCACGCCAAGTGTCTTTTTTTCCTTCTTCTTACTTTCAAATACCAGTTAACTTCGAAGCAGGATAAAAAACTGGTTTTTATTGAATAAGAAAAGAAACGTTGTTCCTCGTTGTCGTGTCGGGAGAATCGTTAGTGACGTTTGTTCGTCGATATCCGTATGTATATCAGTTAAAATGTGTTCAAACCGATATTTCTAATTAGTTGGTCTCTTCTGTGTATCCGGTACTATTTTATTCCTTACTTCATGTACAAAATTTCACTGTGAAAAGAAAAAGAGAATATTTCCATGGTTAAATTAGCGTTGCGATGGCTGTCCAAGTTGCACACGTCGTTTCAATTTTCGTCAAGGTTTCAATTTTCTCGTATCGTATATTATAGGTACCTTTGCTAATGGACGACGATACAATTGCCATCGGAGAGGAGGATGAAACGGGTCCGAACAGCAATAAACTTAAGTATATGAATTATCATTGAATAATAGTAGCCAGTTGCAAATGCTAAACTTCAACATTGACAGAATATTCAATTCTTCTTATAGGCATCCATATGTTACCATGTTCCATTTAGCCTTCAGAGTAGCGGCAATAGTAGCCTATATGTTGTGTGGATGGTTCTCGAATAGTTTTATAACTAGTTTTGTAGTTGTTGTATTACTTTTGTCAATGGATTTTTGGACTGTGAAAAATATTACTGGAAGGCTAATGGTTGGTCTTAGATGGTGGAATTATGTGGATGACAATGGAAAAAGTCATTGGATATTTGAATCTAAAAAGGTTTGTTCTCCAATTAAAGCATAAAAACAGGTAAAAACTTTCAAGGGTGTGGTGTAATTTTCTATTATGCATATTTCATCTCGGCGAGCATTGGTTTTAGCTGAACGAATAGTTCAAGGCTTACCAGTTTTCACATTTTATGTCCTTGACACGTTCTACTTAAAAGAAAAAAAAAAAAAAAGAAAAAGAAACGAAATAACTCATGTAGGGAATTTAATGTTTTACCATTCTACTATGTACCCTGTGTTTCAGGGTGTTGAACAGAATCGCATTAATTCAACAGAGGCCCGTATCTTTTGGTTAGCTTTAATTTTCTGTCCATTTCTGTGGTCTGTGTTCTTTGTGATAGCTCTATTCGGCTTAAGATTCAAGTGGTTGCTACTTGTTTGCATTGCCATTGTTTTAAATGGTGCAAATTTGTACGGATACGTAAAATGCAAAATGGGGAATGATAGAAATATTTCTGCAGTCACCGGCGATTTCTTGAGAAAACAAGTCATACAGAATGTTAGTACACATCTTACTGTTTTCATTTTCAGACGTTCTAAGCAGCAAAAAATTTGTAATTACCATTTTATTGCAGGTTGCATCAATGATGAGCAAAAGTCCTGCATCAAATAATTCAAGCGAGGCAACTAATGTGATATAAAATTAAAAATTCTCAGCCATGGTATTATTTAAGCACAGTGCTGTCGTAATAAGAAGGAGTATTCTTATGGAAAATATCAATTTGTATATACATATATATGTTTGTGTGTGTACGCGTGAGTGTGTGTTTGCGAGCGCGGATGTGTAACAATATCGATACGCAACGGTAACGATATGAATAATGTAAAATAAAGTTGCTAGAAAAAATATCCCTGTTCACCCCTCCTCCCCCTCCCTGTCTCATTTCCTAAGGAAGATGAACGAAAAGTTGCGTGTGTTACGTTAGTTATTAGTTTATTGGTGCCACAGGGCAATACATAATGTACACATTATTTCTCCCCATCAACAGACTTCCTATTACACAATATTTAATTTGTATAGGTGTTAATTAGTAACATTGCATTTATTATATTCACTTCAGCCTGTTGTATTCTTTCTGGCAAGAAAGTATCACAAAATAATTTCCCATTCTTTCAACGATATTTAATATTTGACTTATTCTTTGTTTCTTTAATTCACATTTCCGTCGGAATGAAGGAGTGCAATCGCACCGATTACAATCTTATTATCCGAGTAGATGAACTCTTTGAGATGATCTCACGCATAATGTAACAAACTCGTCGTGGTATTGCACGGAGCGATAGTGGGGCCGATTGTATTTTGTTGCAGTAGTAAAGATCATCTGCTCCGAAGACGCGAGTTGTATGCTTTTTTAAGAAGAAGAATACAACAAACCACATATTGCTATACATTGTTGGATATAAAAAAATTAGAAACACTAACAATAGACACGCATCTAAAGTACAACATACAGAAAAATTTCGGAATGATACAAAAAAACGCAATAACGTTACGATCGGTATCTTATAAATATATGAATATCGTGGACTTCTTTGTATTGGTAAATTCATCGAATACAATTTAACGCTACCAACTTATAACTAGTAATATGTTTTATACAATCATTTAACTTTTCCTTTTCGATAACATATTGTATTTTTAATCTGGAACTTTGAACGCGAACCGTTGTCGACCGTCTTGGCGAAAAACTGCATCCTGTGCAGCAATAAAATTCTTTTTTCTTTCTCTGTTGTCGAATCTTTCAGTAGGTACTTACACAGATATTGATACGGTATACGGATCGAAATTGAATAGAAGGATAAACGTGCGACATCCTGAAAATCATCGTACCAATTTCTTTTTTCTACCAATGTATTACCTAATAAGAGGTATTTGCCAACTGAAATCGTCCTCTTATCTGAACAACATCTTCATCGTACAGGTCCGAGATAGTTTTTTTCTTGTTTATCGTTCGAGCGAATATATATGCTTCGACGTGCGTTGATTAATTCAGCCTTTAACCAACTTTCTTCCATACCAATTGTACTTTTCTAACAACAGCATATATCTTTTTGCCGAAGAAATTGTTCGAAGGATTTCTTAGTTGCTGCTGAATTGATTGATTGATTGATTGATTGATTGATTGATTGATTGATTGATTGACTGACTGACTGACTGACTGACTGACTGATTGATTGATTGATTGATTAACAAGCAGTCGTTTCGTGTCTTTTCATTGTTAGCGTAATAATATCGAATTCATGTTGTATAATATATTCCGAGGCAGAAGCACGATATCGCTAACGTACACAATTGAAACTTAAATAAACAGGACGCAGATGAAAGAAGTAAAAGTAATATACACATGCGATAAATCAAGTCGATAGTATAAAAAATAATCATATAAAAATAGAACTATTGCGAGAGTAACTTTCGTGCTCGTACCAAAGGCCAGTATACAACGATTGTTAAACAATGATCCAGGAACGAATTTGACAAGGTATCTACAAGTGAAAATGACGATGAAAGAGAATGTCGCGAAAGGAATCGGAGTACGTACCGTAGATGCGTGTGAATGAAAAAAAAAAAAAAAAAAAAAAAAAAAAAAAAAAAGGAAGAGAAGAACGGGATAAATGCTCCGGGCAAAATGTGGAAATTTCAATGGACAATGAGAGAGAGATTGAGAAAGATCGTCGAGAGTGGGAGATTCTCAACAAAGACTACGTACAGTCTAGTCTATCTTTCGTTTAAGTATTTTCAACAAGTACCGAAGAAGATACACGTATAATACGATACGGTGATATATTAGACGCAATGGCCTTCAGTCTTACAACATTCAAAAAAATCATATCAGATACGAATAAATGCACGTTCGGAAATAAGGCAGTACTACTCTTCTCTACGGTAGTTGTGATTAGTCTTCAATGTAGAAATCTCGTGTAAAAAAAATAGGTATGCAAGTAAAGT